CCTCGCTTATACCAGAAGTTCATCATAGCCCTGAATACTCCACCTTAAACAGTACTTTGAATTTCATTCTGTTTCTCTAATTCCAGTCCTCAAGTTCTGCTGCTCTTCTTGTACAAAACTTCTCCTCATTAGTGGTATCACTCTGTTCTCTATTGTCAGCCCTGGTATTCCATGCTCTAATAAAGACTAGTCCACGCAAGCAATAATTTTTTCCTGTTGTAGAAATCAAAATGAAGTTACAAAACCATCAGAGCCACATTGTGTTCAGTATTCACAGTATAGAATATCCAGGTGTTCAGACACGGAACGTTCAGGTAAGTAGATCTATGTGTGTGACTTACACATCTGCTTGATAAACATAAAATATAAATAAATATAAAACTATAAAAAAGCAATGTAAAAATCACAAATGATGCATTGAACTACATAAAAGAAATACCAAGGGGATAAAACAGTCAAGTAATTATTTCCGGGTTTTTTTCTGTTATGTAAAATTGATTCCCAATTTCGGAGCCTTTGTCTGTGAAAATGATTGTGGTTCTTTGTGATTTTAGATATGACAGATTAGAGCTTCTGTCTGCTTGAAGCTTGTGTCCTTAGTCTTTAATACATGAATATGGGTTTTTTTGTTAATTCTGTAATACTAGCAGGTCCAAACCTGGCAGATCTGCACTTGGGAGGAACTGACTTGTGAAGAACTCACTTGGGAGTGAGCTCCTCTGGCTAGACAACTGGATATGGTACAAGGAACTTGCTCGTCCCAGCCACAAAAGAAATTTGGCCAACCTGAAAAGGCCAGAAGCATTAAAAAAATCATAATTTGATGTTCTGATAATCTGTGCGCCAAGCGGGAGTGTTGGAGTTTGCATGTAACGTTATGAAGTTGACCTTTATTGGTCAACTGCCCGGCCCTGCTCAGAATTCCCACCAGTGGTCATTTAAAATCATTGGCGATGAGACGTCACATGTTGCTAGGGTCCCTGGCTGTCAGTCACAGGGATCTTTCCAGAAAGGAGGCAGAAACAAGGCTTGGTATGACTGTGCCCGCAATTGGGCCTTAGCTATAAAAGGTGGCTGTTGGCGGTCGGCAGTTGGACTTGGCGTGGTGACAGAAGAAAGAGAGGGGGGGAGAGAGGAGGTGGCGGGGCTCAGAAGGGCGAAGTCATTGTAGGCCGTAGCCTCGCCTTAATCGAGTGGCAGCGTCGACTTCCTACTGAAGGCTGCTGGACAGCTGTCGTGGGAGGAAACTGGCACTCCCCCAACGCCCCC